CCCATTGCGTTCCGGTGCGTGCGTTCCAGACCAGACCAAATGTGACACGCAGTATTTTTCTGGTCTGGTCCGGAACGGACTGCGTTGGTGTGAACTGAGAACAAGAAAAAGCATTGGGAAACATTAGGATTCATTTTGGGTCTGTAAACAATCTGGTCTGGAGGTGGCGTGAATGGGCCCTAAGGCCGGCCCCCACACCCTCACCTTTGCCTTTGGTCCCCCGTGGTATTTAGGAAGGGAAGAGAGACATACTCAGTACTGACGGGACTCTGATATCTCCCATGTGACAGCGCTGGCTCTTAATTTCCTCAACTCCATCACAGGCGGCGGGACGGAGTCTTCAGCCTGATTAACTTACAAGGCAAGCATGAGCCTTTCACTTCCTGTTTGCCTATCTCTACCTCCGTAACTCATCCTAATGACGTCGGCGTTCCCCACTGGGAAGAAATCACAGGTCCGGAATCTGCCAATGAACATCTCAATGATTCAGAGGAGGATTGGGAGGAAGTGCCGCGGTCACATGACACCAAAATTCAGCTCTTTGGCATGATCTCGACTCGCTGTGTTTGGAGGAAGAAAAACGCTGACCTATGACCCCCAAGAACACCGTCCCTACAGTCCAGCCCGGAGGGGGAAACATTATGCTTTGGGGCTGTTTCTCTGCTAAAGGTATTTAGCTCATCCAAGATATTGTAAAATCTTGGAGGAGAACCTCCTTCCCTCGGCCAGAACACTGAAGATGGGTCGTGGGCGGGTCTTCCAGCATGACAACGACCTAAAACATATCGCCAAGGCAACAAAGCAGTGACTCAAGAAGAAGCACATTGAGGTCATGGAGCGGCCCAGCCAGTCTCCAGACCTTCATCCTATAGAACATTTATGGGAGGAGCCGAAACTTCGAGTTGCCGAGCGACAGCCAAGAAACCTGAAGAATCCATCCTCAGATGTGTGCAAACCTGGCAACCAACCCCAGGAAACGTCTCACCTCTGTGCTCCCCAACAAGGGTTCCCCCAGGAAACGTTTCACCTCTGTGCTCCCCAACAAGGGTTCCCCAGGAAATGTCTCGCCTCTGTGCTCCCCAACAAGGGTCCCCCCAAGAAACATCTCACCTCTGTGCTCCCCAACAAGGGTTCCTCCAGGAAACGTCTCACCTATGTGCTCCCCAACAAGGGTTTCTCCACCAACTACTAAGTCATGTTCTGCTTGGGGATCAAATACTTATTTTACTCCCTGAACTGCAACTCCATTTATAACATTTGTATCATGTGACCTCTCTGGAGTTTTGGTGGATATTCTGTCTCATCATTTACAATACACCGATGATAACAATGATAGACCTTTCAGTTCTCTGCAAGCCGCACGGGAGCAAATCATTATTTGCCACACTGTAAGCATATTAAATACTATAAGACAGATCTTAGGTTACAATGTCCTCAGTGAGGATACGTTATTCTTTCTTTATAAAGAGCATTAAAGAAGAAGAAACGTTTAATCACTTAACCAGCCAGTCCCGGAAGATATTCCCCGCCTGACCTTTACGGCTGACTTCCCCTTTAACACGCTCAGTGTATATTTATGTACATTGTATCCATTATGTTGCCCCGTTATCATCTCTTTCCTCACTTACAGTAAATGGCTTTATAAGTAGTTGACACTATAGAACTTTCTATTTGATATCCATAAGATTGCTGACAATGGGCCACTTCCTGCCGTCACACTCCATGTAGTCAATCAGCTCGTGACCTTTCGCGGTCGTACATTAGCGCTAATGTGATGTTTAATGTCACTTGTACGCAATCGTAATTCATCGTCACCGCCGGACTCCTTATAATAACACACTCGCGGCACGTCCGCCCTATACTTCCTTCATCCCCGGGATTTACAGCACACCTGGCTTGCTCCTTCTTTTCTTGTCATTTGCTATGACGTCCACCATTGAATGATTGCCATGACCGCCATTTATCCAGAGCCGGGTTGACGTTTGGTCGTTGACAACTCTTGACCTTCACTTTGAAAATTTAAAGCAGAAATAAAGTTTTGTTGTTTTTTTTTTCCCCTCTCCAAACAATGTGCAATTGTAAATTAGAGGTGCCCTGAAATGGAAATCTCGAAACCAAAACCAAAACAAAAAAAAATTGTCAGGCCGAAACCGAAAATGTTTTTTTATTTTTTTCAAATTGCTTAAATATGTTGTTTTTATTTATTTTTTATAAACTTTTTTATTTATGTTTATTTTTATTCAATATTTTTATTTTTTACTTTACTTTTAGGGGCTCCGGGTAAATATTAGGGGTCTAAACAGATCCCTGATATTTCTCTTTTAAAAGAGAATGAGAACACAAGAGTCCTCAGACACACTGAGCCCTCAGAGACACACAGAGCCCTCAGAGACACACAGAGCCCTCAGAGACACACAAAGCCCTCAGAGACACACAGAGCCTTCAGAGAGACACACACAGAGCCCTAAGAGACGCACACAGAGCCCTCAGAGACACGCAGAGTCCTCAGAGACACGCAGGGTCCTCAGAGACACGCAGGGTCCTCAGAGACACACAGAGCCCTCAGAGACACACAGAGTCCTCAGAGACACACACAGAGCTCAGAGACACAAACAG